GAGAAGCTTGATGTTGAAACAATTAAAAGACCAGTTAGTAAGGATTCAACAACTTCAGCTCACTCAGTAGATACAGTGATTTTCAGTAATAATCAGATTGTTACTAACCCTAAAGAAGAGTTGATTCAAGATATAAATCACAAAAACAAGGAGGAAACAAAACAAATTAAAGAAGAACTAGTTAATAAAGAAATCACAAGATATTTAGCGCCTATAACTGAACCTTTCAGAAGAGCTTTTTCCGCTGAAACTCCTTCCACTCCTCAAAAAGAAGATAAAATGTTAAAAGAAAGATCGCTTTCGGCACAAGAAACTGAATCACCAAAATATATTTATATTCCTTTGAGACAATATTCTGAAGATGGTGATAATTCACCAAAAAATGAAATTGATAAGAAGCCAGATATTCAAATTGAACCGAAAGTTGAAAAAGAAATTATTATTCTCAAATGTTTCTAGTTCTAAGTGTAATATTAGTTCTACTGACAGTGCAAGTGTAAAACTAGAACTAACACTATACTTAGAACTATATAGAGTCATTCGTAAAGCTAAGGTTTGTTCCAGCTTCATCGTTTGAAAACTCAACGTAAAATAAATAAAAGCCTTAATGAGGCTTATACGATGTTTATTGGCAAAATATTATAAGTTCGGTGCTACACGTGTTTCGCCTTATTTCAGCATCAACAGGCACGACTACAAGATGAGAGAAAATACATCAATTATTGTAAATCTAAATATAGATAGATGTTAGGTATTAATTTATACTGTATGTTTAGAAAGTAATATTTACCGTCATATCGCTACAGACTCAATCTAGCAGGGATGGACCAGATATTAAGCAACAATATTATAAGCGTGTTTAAAATACACCCAATTTTTTCTATAAAACTTTTTTAATAAATGTACTAATGCTCCATCGCTGTTCTTTCTGTGTCAAGCCTATTTATTTACAGATATAGAGACATGAACGTGTAGGATATATATATTATACACATCACAGGATAGGATTTAAAATAAATCAAATATATTATTGCATTTGTGAATTGAAATTACAATTTTGTCTTGTCATAATTTAACTCGTGTGGAATTCGATTTTCTATCGCTGACAAGACTCGATAAGCGTTCCAGGCTCGCAAATAATTTTTAATTAATTTTAGTTTGCTAAAACTTCGCTCACAGCTTGCGGATGTAGTAGGAAGCGTAGAGTAAATTCGCAGGGCAATACAAATATTGAAAGCATCTTGTAAATCATGCGCATAGATCTGTTGCAAACCGTTAGCCTTTTCTAGATCACCAAATAAAAGCGCAGCTTGCTCTTTAAAAACGTAGAGTTCCTGGCAGAATTCAACGGCGCTTCAATCTCGCTCGTATTTTCGAGCCAGATACTTTTGCAGTTCTTCAATTGATATTTTCAAAATATTAGTACCATTAAGAAAAGCAAAAATCAAATTCAGCATGGTAGCATAAATAAATCTCTTTTTAATTTCTGATATTATTCGATCAAATACCATCATTATTTCTTTAGAAAATAGTTGAACAGCTTGGAGTGTTTGTAATTCGTCTTCACACATCTCATCGAAATGTTTTTTACGTTTCGGAATTCATTTGTTTTGCAAAACTCTACTTTTTTCAGCAACTTCTCCAGCCTCTTTTATCCAATATTCTATTGGATTTTGTCTCATTTTTTGCAAAGTTTTGAGCAGAGAGATAATATCTTCTTTCTGAATTTCTATATTCACTCGATTGATTTCGTGGAGAATATTCGCCCAAATAGTTAAATTAAGAATAAATTTAAAATCCTTTATAGCAGTTAAGAGATGTACCTCGTACTTAGCTTCTGGAGCATGAGCAGTTTGCTTAACTTCTTTTAAGGCTTCCGCTATTTCTGGCAAATTATTTAATAGGGCATTCACAGCAACATGTTTCAACCATCTCGTCTGATTACTTCCTTTTAAATTTGTTTTAACGTATTTTTTCATAATGTTCCACCTAGTAGTGGAGCCAAGAAAAAAGCAAATTACTTTTTGAATCAGTCCAAATAGGTTAATAGCTTCCTGGCATGATGAGGCAGAATGAACATCTACAAGAGTTAAGGAATGAGCCAAGCACAATACGAACTTGGCCAGCTCATTCCTTTCTGCAATCCTGGCTTGTACACTTTTATGGATGCAACCCATTATCATAAAATTGGCCACGACATTGTCCAATATCTAAATCATCAACTGACAATTTTTCTAAAATCTGTTGATAAATGTCCTCTCCTGTCTTTCCAGCAATTTTTATGAAATCAATTAAACTTTCTCTTATTTCACACACATCGTCAGTTCTTTTTACATATCGAATTACCTGGCTCATTTGTTCTGTATGGGATACATTATATTAGATATTTTGAACTATGCCTACGCACCTCGCGAATAATATATGTTCATGCAGCACGTCTCACTCCTCGCTCTGGGTATCTGTCGAGTTGATATGGCCATGAAATTTCTGTACTTGTACTATTATTTATTCCGTGGTCAAAGTTTAGCCGTGCGTCTGAAGATGCACGGCTAAACCCGAAACTTTCTAGTTCTAGGTCTAGTGTTAGTTCTAGTTTTAATTGTTATGCAGTTTATCCGCACGTCTTTAGAGACGTGCAGATAAACTCAAACAGGGATACAGAAAAATAAGTTAGAAAAAAGACTAAAATAAGTAATATACAGGGTGATTCACATAAGAATCGACACAGAGCAGGGACATGTAGAGGACAATAAATTTAACATAACTTAGCTCTATACTAAGTTGTACACCTGAGGAGTTATAGGACTTCAAAGTTGGCTCTTAAATTTTTAAAAAGTTCAATATCTTCGTAATAAATTAAGCTAGAAAAACCAAATTTGGTATACGTTATGAGTGTACCAAGAGCATTAATTGGTAGCAAATTGAACTCAATTGAGGCATTTCAAAGTGTTGATTAAGGGTGATGGTACCTTAAATTTTGACAGATCTTTTTAACCTGTTGACGGATTTTATACATTACTACTTCATTTCATGTGGAATTTAATTCTAAAACTTTTTTTACTCTTACTATTTCATTTAAAAAAACNTTGGCCACGACATTGTCCAATATCTAAATCATCAACTGACAATTTTTCTAAAATCTGTTGATAAATGTCCTCTTCTGTCTTTCCAGCAATTTCTATGAAATCAATTAAACTTTCTCTTATTTCACATACATCGCCAGTTCTTTTTACATGTCGAATTACCTGCCGTGCGTCTGAAGACGCACGGCTAAACCCGAAACTTTCTAGTTCTAGGTCTAGTGTTAGTTCTAGTTTTAATTGTTATGCAGTTTATCCGCACGTCTTTAGAGACGTGCAGATAAACTCAAACAGTGATACAGAAAAATAAGTTAGAAAAAAAACTAAAATGTAATATAATGGAATGACTTTTCTTAGCATCTAAATTATATAATTGCCTCAGACATTCTTTTTTGGGTTGTTTCAAGTTTATTGAAGCTTCTAAATGTATTTCCCACCTTGAAGGAGTTTTAAGAAAAAAAATCCAAATTTTTAACATTGTTTTAATTTCACTCGTTCTGATTTATTTTTTATACAAAAAAGTTGACGCTGCATGCATTTTACAATTGACATTTTCGTGCCTATAACAATGGAAAATTCTAAAAATCGCCACCGCAAATTCGATACACTTCGAACATTTTTGACGACACTTAGATAATATGTACAAAAGTTTGGGAGGAGAAGCGTACTTGAACATTGAGAACGTTGTATTAACGAATTATTTCCGTCTATTATTAAAACTCGTCTAAATTTCCTTTCTTACATGAAAAAGATTTGATTTTAGATTCGAAAAAATCTTGATCACATAAAAAGCGAAACGTTTCGTAAGTCTCGTTTTATTGTAATTTTAAATGACGATCTTATTTTACATCTCTGATATTAATTCATATAATAAATAAATTATTTTGATGGTCTCAACATAGATAAAATTTTATAAAGACGTCACAACACGTGTCTAAACAATCGTTTGAGAAATATGTAACTATTTTCTAAAAACCTCTTTATAAATCGTACTATGACCAATAGGAGTTCAACAAAGTATTGATGTAAAAGAAAGGGAGAAATGGATCACTTTCTTCCTAAATTCTCTAACGATTAACAACGTTCAGTATAAAACACCGCTCGTATAGTAATTTTTCTACAGACTACCGCTGTGTATATACAGAGCATAATAATGTTTTTATTAAAAACGAAAAAGAAACTTTTATACAATGTGAGTCACGATTAAATTTTAAAACCAGTGAAACAGTCTTTATTATGTTTATATCATTAAAATTAAATATTAAAAATTGTTTTAAGTGTAATATATTTTTAGTATTTATAGCTCTAACGATAGAGAGTGACTCATCTTGTATAAAGATTTATAAATATGTTATGTCCGACTGTATAATCATTAATACGACACTATAAGATCCCAATTTCATCAAAACAACTTCCTAGAATAAGATAATGAATAAATAAATTCACTTTGACCTAAAATGTTTTAAATTTGAACTTTAGTCGGACATAAAGCCACATATGTAACACGTCTATAAACAACAATGCTTTATGGATTCACTCAGAATTATTATAAACCAAATGTCCATAAAGACCAAAGTTATGACTCATCACATAAGTAGCTATTAAACAAATTTAAAATAAAAAATTATAAATTTTGCTTTAAAACAACGAAAATTTGGTCGCTTAAAACAATTTGTAATTGTATTTTGATTAGCAAAAAGTCCTCAAAGATATATTACGACCTTAACTACGGTCCATTCAGTCTTAATAATACGTTTGAATTGCCCATTTTTCCTTACCCCGTTTACATATTAAAAACCGTAGCCATCACAAACTAGACTCTTAAACGTATTTGTGCGCATTAAATTTTGGCCACTGACGAAACAACGAAACTAAAATGTAAAGGGAAAACTAATTAAAATAAAAAGAAAAACAAAATAATAAAAACTCAAATCTTTTTATTGAAAATAAAAAAATCCCCGTGTATATATTCGTTAAGAATTATATATTTGTGGTAAATATATAGAATCTGCTTTAAATATGTCAAAAACTTAACAAAAAAAAACATACAAAAAAATTCGTAAGATAACGTGAGCTATTTTTATAATTTATTGCAAAAAAAGTAGTCACTTTAAAGCGATTGCACTAAAACGGCGAAGTGAGAAAATGTATGTACGATTGATGACGACCGAGAAACCGTTTCGTTTTAGAAAACTGTCATTTGTGAGGACCATGTTTTTAATTGGCACACTCGAACACTACATAGAAAAAGTTCGCAGACGGACACAGAATCATCGTTTCCGTTCGTCTACACATACAGTAGTAATTATTAAATTTGAATAATAGTAATCTTAATAGAGAAATCACTATAGTCTAACGATCACATCGAATAGATTTTCAAATTGTTCAGAAATGCCTTGGAGTCAGATTATTTTTACGTTGGGTCACGACACGATTCGTCTTTTTCGTCTTCTCCTTTTTCTTTCGCTCTTCTTTCTGATCCAAACGTTTTTTCGGCAGGTCTCTTTACGTAGAATTCTTCGGCAGTGATGTCCTACAAAAACATACTAAAAATTTTGACCGTAAAATAATCATTTTCGTTTTTAAAACACTAACCGGTTACAAACGATCCAACCGAAAATTATCTTCTACACTATCCGGTATTAGATTCATCCCACTTTCCGATAATTTTTGTATTTCATCAAAATCTAACGGTTCAAGACTTTCTCGTAACGTTTCTTGCTCTAATAGATCTAGTTGTTTTGATAAATCGTTATTACTTACATCGTCTGGCACTGAAAAATCTACATCACATACAGTTTTAATTTAGGTACTTAGTTTGTTTATAAAATATGTACAGGTGTTCAAAATTCTATATCAAAAAGAATAAGAGTTAGAAATGTAGTAATATTTATTTTGACATACTTGAATCAGACTCAAATCATCTCCCTTATTAAATTAGTTTTTTGGGTTTTCAGCAACATACAGTGAATTTCACTTAAGATGTGATATACAAAAATATATTTCTATAGAAACCAGGGCGTACCTACTTACTTTGTCACACATAAAATGCAAAATATGAATAGAATTACGCCTGTGAAGTTGGCCATAGATTTTAAACCGAAAAAAATGCGTGAGCATGGTATTTAATCGATCTAATTTCAACGGCATCGTATTCATGGTCGCTTCTTGTTTCAAATTCGAAAAGAAAATTTTTCTAACCATTTCCTATAGTCCGGGAAAATCGATTTTCTTCACCCCAAAGATTAAGAAGAAGAGATTAAGATAAGAACCCCAAACAGGCTAAAATTTGGTTATATTTGAAGAAAATCGATTTTTCCGGAATATAAGAAATGGTTAGGAAAATTTTCTTTTTGAATTTGATGAAGAGGCGACCAGGAATACGATGCCGTTGAAATTAGATCGATTAAGAACCCCAAATAGGGTAAAATTTGCGATCCTTTGCAAAAAAAAAACGATTTTCCCGGAATATAAGAAATGGTTAGGAAAATTTTCTTTTTGAATTTGAAGCAAGAAGCGACCAGGAAATAATGCCGTTGAAATGGGATCGATTAGAAACTCCAAACAGGCCGACATTTGCTTATGTTTGAAGAAAATCGATTTTTCCGGAATATAAGAAATGGTTAGAAAAATTTTCTTTTTGAATTTGAAGCAAGAGGCGACCAGGAATACGATACCGTTGAAATTAGATCGATTAAGAACTCCAAACAGGCTAAAATTTGCGATGGTTTGCAAAAAAAAACGATTTTGCCGGAATATAAGAACTGGTTAGGAAAATTTTCTTTTTGATTCTGAAGCAAGAAGCGACCAGGAAATAATGCCGTTGAAATGGGATCGATTAGAAACCCCCAACAGGCCGACATTTACTTATATTTGAAGAAAATCGATTTTTCCGGAATATAAAAAATGGTTAGGAAAATTTTCTTTTTGAATTTGAAGCAAGACGCGACCAGGAATACGATGCCGTTGAAATTATATCGATTAAGAACCCCAAACAGGCTAAAATTTGCGATGCTTTGCAAAAAAAAACGATTTTCCCGGAATATAAGAAATGGTTAGGAAAATTTTCTTTTTCATTCTGAAGCAAGAAACGATCAGGAATACAGGGTGTCTCACGTAACTGGTTCGTTAGAACCTTTTTAAGTTCCAGTATTCCTACAGTTTTGAAATTTTGGTAGTATGGATTGTTCAGTCGGATCTTTCGATCTAAAATATTTTCAAGATGGCTGCCACTTCCGGTCTACCGGAAGTAGACCGTAACTTCGTTATTTTAAATTGAATGCTATAGTTTTTATTACACCTTTTAATTGTACGTAAAAAAATATGTTGACTTTTATAAAAGTTATTGGTACCTAGCGTTTTTCGTTTTCGAGTTATTTTGGTTTTAAGCTTTTTTTGGTAAATTTCAACATGCTCTTTAAAACTTCATATCTCAGCCAACGTTCATTCAAAAAAGATCTACGTTAGCACGATTACTCTTCAGGTGTTGTCAAATAGATTGTCATTTGTTGTATCGGAGTATCTTATACAGACTGGTCAAAGATTGAATTACCGTTTCTCCATATTCAATGGGGAGAAAGTCGAAAATTTTAAATGGAACACCCCATTTTTTAGTAGCCTACACGAAAGGGAATTTAATTCTCTACAATTTATCTATAAACATTCCTATACCTATTTATTGTAGTTTCTCATATTCGTAAATTTATGAAAACATGCAGGAAATGCAGGAAACCGTTTGTATTTTTATTAGAAGGCCATGACATTTTGACAGTTTTTTGTTTAATTTATTTATATTATTATTTTTACTTACCAAAAATAGCAAACAGAAGATCAAATAAATTAAACTATTAAAACAAAAAGTTAATGATAAAAATTAGATTTCAATAAAAATATAAATTTATAATATAAATTTATTATAAAATTGAATTTGGAAATGCAATAAAACACGATAAAATATTTATTTCGTTGTCTTCATCACTGGTGACCGGAAATATGCAATTTCTTTTTGTCTCGATATATCCAGAACTAAGAAATTCTTTATCAATTTTTTGAAATTNTTTGAATTTGAAGGAAGAGGCGACCAGGAATACGATGCCGTTGAAATTAGATCGATTAAGAACCCCAAACAGGCTAAAATTTGCGATACTTTGCAAAAAAAAAACGATTTTCCCGGAATATAAGAAATGGTTAGGAAAATTTTCTTTTTGATTCTGAAGCAAGAAGCGACCAGGAATATAATGTCGTTGAAATGGGATCGATTAAGAACCCCAAACAGGCTAAAATTTGCGATGGTTTGCAAAAAGAAAAACGATTTTCCCGGAATATAAGAAATGGTTAGGAAAATTTTCTTTTTGATTCTGAAGCAAGAAACGATCAGGAATACAGGGTGTCTCACGTAACTGGTTCGTTAGAACTTTTTTAGGTTCCAGTATTCCTACAGTTTTGAAATTTTGGTAGTATGGATTGTTCAGTCGGATCTTTCGATCTAAAATATTTTCAAGATTGCTGCCACTTCCGGTCTACCGGAAGTAGACCATAACTTCGTTATTTTAAATTGAATGCTATAGTTTTTATTACACCTTTTAATTGTACGTAAAAAAATATGTTGACTTTTATAAAAGTTATTGGTACCTAGCGTTTTTCGTTTTCGAGTTATTTTGGTTTTAAGCTTTTTTTGGTAAATTTCAACATGCTCTTTAAAACTTCATATCTCAGCCAACGTTCATTCAAAAAAGATCTACGTTGGCACGATTACTCTTGAGATGTTGTCAAATAGATTGTCATTTGTTGTATCGGAGTATCTTATACAGGGTGGTCAAAAATTGAATTACTGTTTCTCCATATTCAATGAAAATATGGAAATGAAACGCCCCATATTTTTTTAGCCTATCAGAAAGGGAATTTAATTATCTATAAATTATCTATAAACATTCCTAT